AAATGGTGATAATTTGAACAACAATTTGCTTTTTATAGCTGTTCAGCTTCTAACAACAGCGACGGCAACAGCAGCAACAGTTTCAAAAGAGGCAGCGATAGCATTACTAATAATTAACTTGGTAGCTGTTTGCCTTTTAATTATAATAAAAAGAAAGCTATCAGGTTACCATAATTTATTTTCTTAATTCAAGTAATTTAATTAATTCGCTTTTCTTTTTTTCTGATGGTTAAAATTTAAAAACTTTTAAAAAAGAGCTTTATCTTTAATGAATATTAAAACCTCGGATCGTTAGAATTAAAGTATTTAATATAATTTTTAATAAAGTTTTTTTATTTTGCAACAAATCTCATAAAAAATATGCACTCACTAGCTTAGATACCTTCAAAAATATAATATTCTTTTTTTTTATATTATTATTAATTCGTGCTTTTAAATGGTGTTATTTGTATTTTGGTAATCCGAGAAGAATTTAGGGTCAGCTGATATTAAATGTCATCAAATGAACTGACGTCACCAAATCCATAGAACTTTTGATTGTTCAATATTTGCCATTTATCTAATTCTCATTCAATTGCAAAAACCATCAATTGTTTACTTTGCACCAACGATGCTTTACAAACTGATAATTGTCCATTGTTAAACTAGGGAAATCTTTGAAAATATAATTTGTTACTGTAAACAGAATAAATAAAGTTCATTAAGTTCTAATGATGCATAAATGATGTTACAGAAAAGTTACAAGTGACTGACTTTTAATATAAATATGTGAACAAATAAGAAAAACTTGGCCAATGTTTCAAATCAGATTATCTAACCAGAATATCGAACCAGGATAGACAATTATCGAAAAGGAGTTTGCCGAATGGCTAAGCAGTTACATTGGTCAAGCATATACCAAATGTTAAACGGCATGCCCTTGTTCTTTATTGCTTGAACTAGTTCAAAAGTATCTCCTATATACAGAAAATCAAAAGCTTTTTGGGTGATAAAATTAAATTTATTGTTGTGGATGTTGGGAAAAGAAGGTTTAACCCATCATCAGTGTTTGATACAATTGTTTATAAATATACCAATGATTGTTGTATAGGAATTGCTTCAGGAATTACTTTTTATGAGGAAGTAGAATATGAAGAAATGAAGCTAATAAATGAAATGAAACTTGGATATAAAAGATCAATTGGAACAATTGTTTTTATAAAAATATAATCAATGATCTTGAATTTCCAGTTGAGGAAAAGGTTGCAAATGATGATAGTGACGAATAACCTGAAATAATAACATATACAACATCAAGCACATCAATCATATTTGTTTCAACAAAATAAACATTTAAATAATTAATTGTTAAATATTAATACTTTTCATTTCATAAAAATTACAGCAACCCAGGACTCAAAACTCTGAATTCAGGGAAAATCCAAAACAGCAACCTCCTGAGTTGCAGAATTTTCAACCAGTTACAGGTGCCAACTTTTATGCTAGCATGGCAATAACACAAATAAATCATCACACAAGTGCTGATATTAATCAGTTATCAATGCCAATATGGTAACAGCCAAGCCTGATCTGAGAGGAGAGATAAGGGAAAGTTTTGTCCAAAGCCTTCCAATGTGTAGGGGATCCCTCACCTGTGGAAAAATCCACAGTTATGAGGAGTGTTAAGAGCACCCAACCACATAGGGGACTGGATGGGGTTTTGCCCAATCAGTTCTCCTGTTATATAGGTTAAAATTATTGCATGATTATATACATCTTTGTCAGCAATATGGCCAACAATAAAAAGCCATAAAAATGGTTCAGATTTTGTTTGGTATGTTTTGTATAAATTAATCATTCCCAAATTCTCTGCTTCTCTTTAATTTTTATCTGATCAGCTGAATTTGTTATTTTAGTAAATGGGGGTAGGATTGTTGGTGAGTAGGCATGCCACTGACAAGACAGGGGACGCCTTTGGGATATACCAGCCAAACTCATAGAAAGGGATCTTTTGTCCAGACTTAGGGTCACATGGATGTTAAGCACAGAAAATGTACACTATCAATGTATATTTTTTTCAACAAAATAAACATTTAAATAATTAATTGTTAAATATTAATACTTTTCATTTCATAAAAATTACAGCAACCCAGGACTCAAAACTCTGAATTCAGGGAAAATCCAAAACAGCAACCTCCTGAGTTGCAGAATTTTCAACCAGTTACAGGTGCCAACTTTTATGCTAGCATGGCAATAACACAAATAAATCATCACACAAGTGCTGATATTAATCAGTTATCAATGCCAATATGGTAACAGCCAAGCCTGATCTGAGAGGAGAGATAAGGGAAAGTTTTGTCCAAAGCCTTCCAATGTGTAGGGGATCCCTCACCTGTGGAAAAATCCACAGTTATGAGGAGTGTTAAGAGCACCCAACCACATGCTGTAATAGGAAATTTCAATTAAATCTGACACCTGTGATCAACATCAGATTTATTATTCATAAGAAACCATGATTGATAATTGGAAAAAATAATTTATTATTGTGAACCCAGAGATCTGGAAGACACACATTATTAAAAGTTTCATTTTTGCATGGCCTTGGTATCATTACTACCTAGGTGATGCAATTGTTTGTTATGTCAATGATGATATCAAATGTATTGAATAATAATCATAACCATCATGAATATTTGATGGATGAAGGCATTCACACACAAGGAAATGAAGGAAATGATTAAATAGCTAAGTCATGTTTGTTTTGTTAAAGACATATGATTAATTGTATTTAAAACATATCCACCGATTTCTGCAAGGTTACACCATTTTATACTGTTTTGGGGGTATATTTTTGAAAATTTTGGTACATTTTTTGCTGTCTTGATATGTGTAACCAGCCCCTCAATTTGTTATTTTTGGAGTAAATATCCCTATTTTACATTTTTTTTTGAATTCTACTAATACCAAACCAATCACTTTTATTAGTAAACCAATCACTTTTTTATATATACATATACAGTGAGTAGGATCTCATAGGATTGCAAGTAGTTAGTTGAAGGAAATTTTATTTTGTAATTCTGTAATTTGCTAATTTTTTTTTTAAATTTTATATTGTAGTAATGAATATTGAACATAGTAGTAACTCAGACATACGCAACAATTTATATAACTCAAAAGAATGGTTTAAATCAACGCAAAGCACAAAACATTCCAATTTTCATGAGTATACTTTAAATGTTCTCACCCTTCTGAATATTGTTTTTCATAATTTAAAGGATCATTAATTTTTAATGACATTTCATCATAAAGTTTAAGGAAAAATCATTAACCTTTCCATGTGATGAGGGTATATTCTTAAGTGTTTTTAAAGACAACACTTAAAGATATTCACCTGTTAGACATTTTTATTTGTTGAAGATGAAAATTAAGATGACAAAAGTTTAAATTTTTTTTTTATTAATTTAATATTTTTAATAATGAAAGTAATTAATTAATTAAATTACATTTTAGAAATTAAAAATATATATATGCAATTAATTGTAAAAAGGTAATCTAATTTATAGTTATTTTTTTGGTACTTTTATTAATTGTTGGTATTTGATTATAATTATAATATAAAAGATGATTCTCATGTTCCAAAATTTCAATTACAGTTTTGTTTTTTCCCTTCCACCATCTTTCAATGTTTTTCTAAAGTATTTACTTATTTGTATATGATTTTTTTTTTCAACAGGACTGCATGTAAATGTTTTAATTCCATAATCATGGTGAATCACCATAAATTCATACATATGATGAACCAACACATGGATATAAGGAGTCACATCATTATTGTTGTGAGATAGTAAACCTTGGACCTATCAATTACCCAGTTAATATTGACCAATTAGAACAAATTTACTATGGAAGTCATATGATGCGCTAAATATTGCATCACAACTAATGACCATCTTTCTATATTATTGTAATGGCTATGCTGCACATTGTGCAGTGTCACATGAAAGATTATTCCTATTCATATTTCTATGTTTATATTTATTAATCTACTCATCTGATGTAAATATTTATTTAGAATTAGTAATTAGTTGATAAG